GTATTAAATCCTAGAATTATTCAACTTACATTTAGGAACGGCACCCGGAATAGCAGATTTTATTACATTTGACAAGTATTGAATAGTTTGTATTATAAGTTTGGTTATATTACGAATGTGTAGAAACTAAGCTTGGTAGTTATTCTAAAGTTAACCCTAAAAACACGAAAATTATATTCTAGAAATACATATGTATTAAATCCTAGAATTATTCAACTTACATTTAGGAACGGCACCCGGAATAGCAGATTTTGTTACATTTGACAAGTATTGAATAGTTTGTATTATAAGTTTGGTTATATTACGAATGTGTAGAAACTAAGCTTGGTAGTTATTCTAAAGTTAACCCTAAAAATTCTGGAGTGATGAAAATAGTTACAAAGCAAGTAGTCGTTGAATACAAAATATTCCCCATTCCTTTACAAGTTTGACTAAAATTAGAATATATGATGGGCTTTACAAAGTAATTTTTATAAAAAATTTCGTAAGCATTTACCAAAATGAAAACCCTCCTTTCTGTTTTTCCACTCATTACATTTATCTTTAAAAAAAGGAAGAAAGAGCTTATCAGTACCTTCCGTCAATCTATATGTATTTTCTTCTATTTATATGTTGACGAAGCCTTAAGAACGTGTTCTTTAGAGGTTTCGTTGGCAGACAGGTAGTTTGGAAGCCTCAAAATGTAATAAGAACATTTCAGAAAAATGTGAAGTTATCCTTGGTAAAACAAACAAGCAGAATACTACCTTATCTTATAATGGAATTTCATTTTCAAATTTGACATTAGTATTTTAAACCTGAACAGCACTTCATGTACAGGTGAGCTTAACGGTCTAAAGATCAGGTATAACCGTCTCTAATTTTGGGCTAATGACCTGAGGAAGACAGCCAATCATCAGCTACGAACCGAATAACGTGATTGACTGTCACTCTTATAATGCAAACACAGCTGAAAGTGTGGAGCGATGTTGAGTAGCAACGCAGCGCAGGCATTTAAATCTTCCGATCCGTATCTCAGCATGCAAACTTCTAGGCCAAGTCAGGTCCTTTGAACTTTATGAAACTCTTAGTTCTCTGGGTTTGTTCTCTCTTTATAACGCCTCCAAGTATGATGAAATACATTTACATATACATTAACTTTCGAACAGAAGATTTTATGTAAAGTTAATAGTTGAAAATATATAAAGAATACGGGTATTCTTAAAGTGGTCGTTTCCTTCATAACTGACAAAGGATTTTATGTTTGTTTTGAATATTCGCGCATAGCTACACAAGGGCTAATCTGCTCTAGAAGTTCAAAAATTTTAACTAATAGACTAGAGGAAAGGTATCTAGTCAAGAACACCAGCCGCCAACTCCTAGCTACTCTAATCAAAGAGTGAGATTTGACTGTCATTCTTATAACTCACTCATGGCCATAAAATGAGGATTGTCAAATTTTGTCCCAGAAGGTCACCAACCCTGGACCCTTGGATTCACAGTCTAGCACTCTAACACTAGTTCACACCCAATCCTTCACAGAGGAAAGAATCTTCTGACAGTACACAAGATCTTCCACTAAAAGTAAGGTAACAGAATGAGTGACCATAAGTATAATTATCTATGGTGTTCTAGAAGCAAGTTCAGACCTAAATTATTTATCAAAGTAATCAAGAATATAGTCACGAGGTGTCGCTCTTGCCAACAGTTTGTTAAATTTTATGTAATAGACCAGAGGGCTGCCGTGACTTTGGTATTCCAAACCTGTACTATTATTTAAGCTTCT